AAGATAGTCTATCTTGTTAATTAGTGATCGGCAGTTAGAATTTAGCAACTTGGGAATCGACATACGCTTAATGTTCATTCCCTTCGACGCATATTCCTAACCATCACGATGTCTTTTGTCGTAGTTTTTTGTAACTTGTGCAGCGAAAGGTCGTAGGCTTTCCATAAACGCACCTGTATAGGTTATGAGATTAATGGACATAATGCGACGTTGAAACGAAATGAAAAAAACAGATAACTTGTTGAAATAGTTAGATAACAGAAACAGGTAGCCCATATATTCAAGCAGGCCACAGAGCATCTGCAACCACATTGTTTGCCCCAAAAATGTTTTTTAATATCTGAAATAGACTGCGAAACGTAATATATTGTTTGAGTATTATCTAGAGACGAGCTTAGAAAGAAGATAAGAGGTCTGCGGTCGGTAATCAGAGTGAACTGTCAGCCTTCAATAGATGTTGATATCGCCATACAGCAGACAATATGGTAAGAAGTTCTCTGCTGGCAGTGCTATACCTCAATTCAGTGTCTTGGAGCCGTCTGGAGATGAATGCCAAAGGTTTGTTAAATGTCTCGTGACAGATACGTGATTCAACAAGAACCACCAATGTAAACTTACCAGGCCAGCGAACGTACGCAATTGCTTGACTGTGTTCTGTCTTGGGTACTACAGAATGACGAACACTCTGTTTTGCTGTTAGGGAATCATTAGAACAATGGTCCAGATGTTTGAGGTGACATGCTTTGTACGGACTTACAGTCAAACAGTCATCAACACATACGTGCACAATGGTGAGGCCTCTGTATGGTAGTCCATGAATCTTTAAAAATTTGTGTAACACTTCTTAAAAAGAAAGGTGTGTGAACAAGTTCGTAGAGAGCGAAAGGAACGATGATACGTATATAGGGAATGTCGTATGCAGCCATCGGGATTTGATCATGTGCTTTAACTTTATTGGTTTTAGAGAAAACAACTATATCTTTCAAAGTAGCAAGTGGCATGTGGTAGCGCTTCGAAGTGGTTTAGGTAATAATTTGACGATTATCACCAGGTATGACGCCAGTCGTCATTCTATTCAGGGACTATTTGCAAAGGAGTTTCCCATTTGCTGTTTGACGGCTGGATAATCTCTAATTCGTTTTTGGCAAATCAAAGCTTTTCGGGAGCTGGTCGGCTCGCTTTAAGAATTCATTTGGCCCTATAGTCTTGATGTGGTGTGCAAAATTGTTAATTATACAAGACAGTTTTGGTCATGTTTTGTAATTTCTGAATACTTATATAGTGTCTGTCGGAACTATGGATCGATTATACATGTCAACCATGACCTATCATAATGAAGTTCCAGAAACAGAGAATTTAATATTAGTATCTGCTAACCTCCGTTTGCTCTGGTTTACTAGTAGATTATGGAGTTGCGGTAGGTTCATGTCAATAACTGATATGGAAACGTCTGCAACAGAGAAAGTCCAGTGAATTGATTTGCGTAAATCTACGTTAAATAAACAAATATTTTACTGCACATGGTGACTGGCTTTCTATTTTCCACTTGTAAGCTGAAGACCGGATCTCTTAGACGGTCATTAGTATTCTTAAGAACTCTTACTTCTGCACCAGTTTCGGCGGGAATGATAACTTTCATCGTCACATAAGTGATGTAAAACAGACGCTCATGACTAATGTCTACGATTGTAGTTATTGTGTGTCGGTGGGGAAGTTTCCCGAAAGGCTTATCGTGACGGAAGTTTGAGGGTTAGGGAAAATTCAATTTCAACAAGACTTCTTCCTCATCAAGTATGCAATAACTTGGAACAGTCTTCCCTCCGAAATACGAATGGCAGATGAATTACATACGTTTGTAAGACTACTTGATCAAGACCTCATTTGCACTGATCTAGCACGTACAAACAGATCTGCGCCCCACTCAGATATCATAGGCTCTCTACATGTCTAAACCAAATTGGACTCCAAGTTCAGTTTGCCTCATTTTTCCTACTTTGCAGTTGTTTTAGTTACATTCCCCACTCTATTTCTTCACTTAAAGTAGACAGGTAACTCACTGGACCTACTGATACTGTTCAACTAAACTCGGTCGCTAAGAGACACTCACTACCACCCTAAAAAGTCAAGAGAACCGCGCATTCGACTGCCTACTACCGATCGAAATGCATCTATGGAGCCTGTTACCCATCAACTGGTTAGGACAACACAAAATAACATCAGCACCAAGTTAGTGTGAGTCTCTCCTTGTTTATTGCTTATTAGCTTTTTACTCTTCTGCACACTATGTTAACTAGCAATTAACATTATTTCTCCACTAGTTACCTTATCTACAACCCATGTACTTTTATACTTTTCCGCCCGCTTTAATAAACAACTATCCTACGTTATACCCTTCTTAATGCTTATACTCTAATTGGCAAACTATACTTTATACTATAGTCAATTAAAGCACTGTATCGATGCCTTACCCACAGTCCATAATTTGTAAGTGCCTGATAAGCTTGTAAAATGGTACTTATAGAAATAGTGTTTTCCAACAGGTTGTGAAACAGAGGATTGTGTGAGGTATGATATGTATCCAAAAATAAGCTTAAATGAGCCTAACATCACAAAAGGAGGGAGGGTGGAGTTACTGACCACCAAGCATTGATGGTGAGGGCGATGACTTCAATCCACCCGTGTTTGTGGGGCAGAACATTTTGTATGTATCAGGCTCTCTATGGTTGAGCATAAGTCAATCAATCTGTGATATAGATTGTCTTCCTACGCTCACCACTCAGACTCATGTTTCCAATTTTATACTGGATTGGCTATTCTACTAAGACAACCTATAACATGCTAACTCGGACTTTTACACATGGATTGTGTGGCTGGCATCGGATGGACGAAAAAAGAAAGAAAAAATCAGACAATAAAAGATATAGTCATTAATATTTTCAAAAATACACCCTCCATATGCATACTCCCTTCTAATAAACAGCTTTCCTTGTACCAACCTTAACTTCCTTTCCTTCATATGAGCTTACTCCAACTTGTTAAACATCACAATTCATTGTTCTTTATTACTACATTCTCTTAAATGGAGCCTCTGACTTCATTTCACTCTAACAAGAGATAATATGAATTTAATCCAATTTATTATACCTCTGTCTGTTCTATTACATAATGTTAAGCAACGTTTGGAGTCCATATCCAAGTGCCTTGCTGCTCTGCTGTTTCTATTTTTTATTTTATTCTTCAGAATCTTGCTCCGAGGGCACAGCTATGGAACTTCTGACGTCTGGAACAAACTTGATGCATGCGTCAACTCAAGGTCATGGTTTATAACAAGCGCTCTAAGAGTCTACTTTATAACAACTATAAACTTAATAAGTTGGAAAGCATACTATGCTGCAACAAATGTTGTAATTTGTAGATCACGCCTGTAAAAATGGCGTGTACCTGCTCATGAAGAAATATATTATTATTATTATTACCGTAATTGATATGACACTAATCAGAGTTAACTACGTCTCGTGGTCGAGAGGTAGATCTTCATGACAAGGTTCTTTACGGAGTTTGAGGTTGTCTACGATTATGGCAAGTTTTAAGATAACAAGTGAGAGCATTAAATGGGGTGCCCAGTAAAATTAATGAGTTCAGCTTCAAATATAATGAGTTACAGGACAATTTTTGGAATTTGTCTACCACTAAATACTATAGAGCGGCAAACTGTATTCGAATTCCTGCTCTATATTTGGATAAGTATTATATAGATAGTATGAGTAGCTGATTAAGTAGTGGATACAAACACCAACTCCCTGATGATCCAGTAATCCATCGAATATTTTAAATTCATTTAAATCCCAACAAGCTTTGTTACAGATATTGAAATCATGATCTGGTAATTTGTTTAGTGCATGAGTTAACAATGTGCACAAAGATACCATGGTTTTTCCCCTAACATTTAAGCACGTTTGATATATTTTGGTTCCACATTCTGGTTCCTCAAATCCATCGAACTAGGACACCAATGAAGGTTATGGGAAGGACTTAAGGAATAATACACTTTTAAATAATTTAAAGTTGTTTGGGCGGAAGCCACATATTTGATCTTTAAATCGTTCTTTCAAAAGAAAAGAATGGAGGCCAGTTTTGTTCGTCTTGCAATATGTTTCCAAGTGCGTCTAATTTTAGTCTGAATGAGTTGGTGGGATATTTAGACACTATTTCTCCAATGTTTAGGTCTTGAAACTTGAATTACATGATGAAAAAACATGTTTGTTGTAGGAATTTTTTTCATTCATGAATTCAAAACTTGCTTACTGTGTCCGTTGATTTGGTTTGACCTAGTCGGTGAAGATGCCACAGGTATTCGGAGTTTGACAACCCTTTAATTAGTAACACCCAATATGAATCGTACTCACCAAGTAAAATCAAAAGACAGAAGCGAGGAATTTTGAAGATATATTTGATAGGTTATCAATAAATCGAGGGTCGTCTGATCTAATCTGGCTAGCGATTGCAAATGTTGGGCACGGCGTTCCTACTCGTGATCTGGTGCGGATGCATGGCCGAGCGCCTTCAGCCGGGTGAGTCGATTAAAACTAATGTACTCAGCATTCACTGTCGAAAACTTACAGAGCCATTTATTTTGGGGATTCATTTACCACTACATCGGAATAAACCACCACATTAGCCTGTAATGGACGCAGTAAAAGAACTTACTAAAGATGTAGCAATACATAAAACCAGTAACAATACACCGAGATAAATATTGAATATGCAGACCTCTGTTAGATGGAGTATGGAAGTCTTTATTTCCTAAGCTTCAGTGCACAATTTCAGTCATGAAAGTGGGATTCGTCTTCAAAACTGGGGCATATGAAGTCTATGAATTAGCTTACTGGCTTCGGGACTCGAACGTGATTGTTTCGGTAGCTTCTAAGATGAACTCTATAATCTTATCTATAACAAAGCTTCCTATTTTTGCGGGTTGTTTGAGTGGTACTTATTTAGCATTTTCGCGGTATTTTAGATGTGGACGTTGGTAACCTGGCTCTTCTAATGTTTTGTGTGTTTTTAATTTTTCTTGTCTACCATGCTTCTTTGATGCAAAAAGTTCTAAGACATTATGATTTCCTTTTTGCTGTTTCTCTAACTTGGCACTCGAATTTCTATTTTATGTATTTAGTGTGTTGACTGTCGGACCTTCTTCCTGTAATCTACGTCTGATTTTTCACGCCCAGTATCCTCCCCACTTTCACCACCTAGGGGATGAGCTTCACTTCTGATGAAGTCAATTTTCTTATATTCAGATACCTGCAAGAATCAGGTTAGTCGTGTGATTTGTAGTTTTTTTAGTGTCGTTTAAGGCTATTGTCACTCAGCATACCTCTTCGGTTTAGAAAGCCAGATTAGTCAATCAAACGTCGATGGAGCACTAGTGCCTCCCGGTTCTTTATTAAGCCTGATCCAAAAAGGGTTGCAGTATACAGAAGCTGAAATAAGTATTGGCGAGGTTTGTCCTAGTTGTACTAATCGTTTGTGTTTCAGGATGGCAGTGAACGTGTTGTGGAGTCACTCTCTCTGATTGATGCTGTTGTTCCGGATGTAATCGAAAAGCGTAAAAATTTCCTCAAACAACAGAGCACTACAAACTCAGCTAGCTTAAGTACTCCCAGTAGTGTGCTCTGCAACAGCACCACTCTGTCTTCAACTGTTAATTGTATTCCTCATGTTGGATCCGTGTCGGTTACTTCCTCCACTTCGGATCAGTTATTATCAGTCAATTCCCACTCTTATCCTTTGGATATATCAACCGTTCCCAGTACACTGCACACACAATCCGATGTCTCACACAATTCAATGGGCCATGCCCCTTTAAAGAACGATATTTCAAGCATTTCTTCACATCCTCACTCTCACCAACACAACACACTTCCCCCTTCTACTCTTGTCACAATTAAACCAAATAATCCTTCAAATGCAGTTAATGCTTCTGTACTTAATCAGTCTAGCAACATGACTCCGTCATCCCTATCCACTCCTGTTTGCTCTGTCACACTAATTTCAACTGTAAGTCCAATCACTGCTTCAAATACTACTCCTTTGGTTGGAATCAATAAAATCACAGCTGCTTCTCAGCAGTCTTCCATAACATCGGGACAACTTACCACTCACCATATCCCTCAACCTATGCTTTTATCATCTATACAGACAAACGGCGAACATCATGGAGGAGCTATGGGTAATTTTTCTAACTGCTGTTTTCCGGTGTTATCAAAGTTTTTCGTGTGCGCTCTATGTTCTGTTGTCTTAAACGAACAAGCCAATTTTTCTATTATACCAAAATCAGTTTGTTAGTAACCGAGAGTCGATATCCAAATGTGTAAGTAATATAAAGGCTAGACGCGAAGTGTTATGGAATGACGGTAAATCAGTCGGTGCATTTGTAAATCTACATCTACTGAGATGGGCTACATATCACACATACCTAACCATCGATTACCTTGGCACGCAATTCTGACTAGTCATCAACTTCCGGTTCGAGCCATGTTGATAGATGCTGACTACTTGGTTGAAGTCCACGCGACCATTGTAACCAGTGGTTGGATGCTGGGTAACATGGCTCCGAATCGGTTTCAATGGCGTTGGTGTGTACACTATTTGTCTTCCTTTAAACTGTAGGATTAGAATTACTATACTTTTCTTTATGCGGACCAGTTCTTTCTCCCTTTTTCATATCTTTATATGCAATTTTTTAATACATACTACTACTATTGAAGTAACTGCTATGAGTTTGGTGTTCATCTTGTGCTAATGAGCTGTGGTATCTTGGACAGATGCATGTGTTCCTGGTCCTACGTTGTAGCTGACAGAAAAACGTGGAACCAGGTTGTCAGTTTAGCTTGAATGTTTTTTTATACCTTGGAATAGTTCACGGCTCTTTCCTCTAGAAAACTGTGCAATCAACACTGATCTGTAGTAGGCAGGCTTTGTTTTTTTTGTATGATAAGGTTATCCATTTTGGCCAGCTTATGAAAGAGAATTTAATAAGAATTGTGTTTCTAACTCCTGTTTTATTCAGAAAGTTATAAAATTGACGGCCATATCATTTTTAAGGGTAACCGAAAAACGTGTATAGAAGCGATAAACTGAAAATCTCATTGTTTGTGTCTCAGTAATTCGTCATATGGTGTACTGCTATGTCGTAATAAATAGTTAACCAGTTTACTGTCATAAACGTAGTTATGTTTAAATCTGCCAGGGATCTGTCATGTATGGCGATCACAAGGCAAGTCATTCTGAAAATATGCCAGTTTTATGAGACTGAAGAAAAATACTTAGCAAATCGTATACTGGTATTCGCATTCCCAATGTACAATTGCGTTAAGTTGTCTTCCCGATTTTCTTTGAGTGAATAAAAGGCACTAAAACCGAGTTTTCATTTTGAACAAATTCTTTATTAATAGTAAATAATTCATATATTCTCTTTCATGGCAAGTCAGTTACCCTGTCTTCGTTACTCATGCCCATCTGACTAATGTAGCACACATTGATTGTTTAGTAGTGAGTTAAAGGCGAGTAATACGAGCAAACCTAAACTCAGTATCCGTCCATAACGTTATTGTTTATTTACCGGACTATCAGGGAAATGGAAAGTACCTTGTTGGAAGCTACTCGTCAATCGTAATCATTGTGGGGGGATATTGGAGCAGACTCAGTATTATTTTCCTCCTGAATCTTAAGTTTTAATATTGTTTCATGCTTTTTCACAAGTTCAAACCGCGAAGTGTGTTCCTCATGCTTATCCTGTTTTACTATAGTAAACATGGTTTGCCATGCGTCTTATTGATTTCTCACTACTGATGTTGTGTGGCAACTTGAAATAACGAACATTTGTGCCGTGTTTTATGATTGATCAACGGTTATGGTACTTCCAATTATATTATTTTATTTATTTTAACACAAGTATAGGTACAGGGAGGCACCAAATGCATATGCGCCACACAGATCTCAATTGATTTGTGTGAGGGCTGTGATACTGCCCGGGTGCCCAAACCGAAGCAGGTGGTTTTCTTAGGGGGCCACACCCCGAGCCTTCGACCTGAACGTCTGACCCACAAGGCAGTGGAGCATCGTGAGGAGATGCAGTCCAATGGTAGCCGGTGACCAACGATTGGTTTATACGCCATTTGTTCCTTCAGGCAGGATACTGGAGCCCATGTGCACCATTTTTTTTGGGTCCGGTTAAAGCGCCAGACATTCGCTTTTCGTCCTCTCATTTTCGTAAACAACACCCCCGCCACGAGAAGGCAGTGAGTAGGACTTCCCTGGCAGAGGCTATATACGCATGGCCATGTGAGAGCATTTCGAGAGGGAGAGCGGTCTCTCCCCACTTTCAGCCGTACCAGGGCATTATTATAGTGCAAACTAATGTTCTTAGTTAGTACCAACACATCGAGTTTATGACGTGAATTCTCTGGTTTTCTGAAAATGTGTAAGTGGAAACAGGGATTCGTTGTCTGAAATCTTAGTAAACTAGCATATTTACTGATTTTCTATTGCTTAATCCAGAGGTGCTATTCAAGTAAAATGAAGTATTTGAGCGTGTGAACCATTTCACTTATTCTAAGTCTCACCAGTACTGATGGACTGATGTCTGATGAAATCTCTGCACAAATTCAAAGGCTTAAGTGGCTTTTGTCAACTTACATCACTTGTGGCGTCGGCGAGATATGTCTATCAACTTATGGATGAGTATAGTGTGCAGTAGTTCAATTCGTTCTACTTTTTGGATGCGAAAGGTGGCTATTAAGAATAGACGATATTCCTAGGTTTCTAGTATTCGGTCTAGGTGTCTTCAAAGCATTGTTTGTGTATTGTGGGAGCACGGTGTGAGTAGTGACTGGATTACGAATAGAGTACTAGTCAAAGAAAAGAAATGGGCTGATAAGGTAGTAAATCTTCGTCAACTAAGTTGGTTGAGACATGTGTCACGTATGCCCAACCGCCGCCTACCGCGATGAGCGAAGTTTTCTGGGTTAGGAGTAGGCTGGGAAAAGCTAGAGGCAGCCAAATCAAACACATGGCTTCAGTCTATGAAGCTACTGACAATTGACTTGGCAATGCCTTTAGGTATAGACTACCTGGTCGGGGTCCGCGTGATTATCGTACCCAGTGTTTGGCAACAAAATAACAAGGTTCTGAATCAGGTCCATGCATTCTTTGTCTCACTCCGAATTCTGAGCTACTGAATTCCTCATAACTTATTCTTGCGTTTTTATTTTGATTTGTATTTTCTTTTCGAGTTGTCTTCGATGTCTAATCTTTCCTGTTACCACTGATACTGTTATTACCTCTACTATTCTGGGATTCGGTCTTACATTTTAATCTACTTATTACTACACTACTACTACTTGAACACATAAATATTGGTACAGAGGGGCACCAAATACATATACGCGACACAAAACAATGATAATTTGAGGAGAAGGAGGAAAGAGAAAAAAAAGTAATAAACGTGGGGAATTATAAAAAAAAGGGAGAGAGAGAGAGAACAATGGTGGGGGAAACGGAAAGGTACAATCAGAAGAGATCTTTCAGTTAAGGAAGATATAAACACTTTTTATGAAGAAAGTAAGAGTTTACAGCACGATCGCCACTGGCTTCTATTCTTAGCCATATCTGATAACGTCTCTAGCCACTGCGTTACACCGTCTCTCGGACCCCAACCAGGGAGTCGAAGAGGACCGACAGAAGCCAGCCTTTTGCAGCTTTCTTTCATACCACGACACCATGTCATATACTGACCACCTCTCCGCTTTTTCCAACCAGTACCACAGTCGGCAAATAATGCACGACGTGGAATTCTCTGGGACGACATTCGTAGAACATGTCCAAGCCACCGAAGTCGGTGTTTCAAGATGGTGACACCAATTTCATTATCGTCTCTGTGACCGAACACTCGATGCCGAACCTCTGCATTACTAACATGGTGTTGCCACTGGATGTCAGCGATCCTTCAGAGACAACGATGATCGAACACAGAGTCGTCTAACATCCTCAACTCGGAGAGGCCAGGTTTCACAAGCATAGAGCAAAACTGCTCTCACCGTCGCGTTGTAGATCCGACCTTTTACAGCCAGACTAACATCACGAAGGCGCCAAAGGTGGCCCAGATTGGCATAAGCCGCTCTGGCTTTCACTATACGAGCATTGATCTCATCACTCACACCACCACCAGCACTTATGCAGCTACCTAGATACACGAACTTCTCGACTACTTCAATCTGCTCACCATCCAGAGTGAGTACAGTATCAGAATCCTGCCAGTCTTGTAGAAGTACTTTGCACTTCGAAGGTGCAAAGCACATACCATACCTACGGACATTGATTGCCAACTGATTAAGTGCGGATTGCATAGCTTGGGCACTATCGCACAGTAAGACAATATCATCCGCATACTCAAGGTCGAGAAGTCTTTCTCCAGGCAACAGATCCACACCACCATTACTTACATCCATCAGAGTTGTTTCCAGAATGTCATCGATGGCAAAGTTGAAGAGGAATGGTGAGATTGGGCAACCCTGCCCAACCCCACTGCTCGAATGGAACAATGGAGAAAGGTGGTTGTATGCCCTCACTCTGCCTGAGGTGTTTGTGTATAAGGCTTTTAGGATGTTAATAAACTTCTCAGGCACACCCTTCTTCAATAGACAATCCCAGAGAACAGTTCTGTCCAACGAATCGAAGGCAGCCCTGATATCAAGAAACACTACGATTGTTGGCCTTTGATAAGTATGGCGGTGTTCTAACACTTGGCGGAGGGTGAAGATATGATCAATACATCCTCGACCAGAACGAAACCCAGCCTGCTCCTCGCGAGTCAGTGTTTCTCGGGTTCTGAACAACCTACGAAGTATGACGGAAGCCAATAGCTTGGACGCAATCGGAAGTAGACTTATCCCCCGATAGTTGTTACAGGAACAACGTGAACCCTTTTTAAAGATAGGGACAACTATCGACTCATTCCATGACGTTGGTACACTCTCTAGTTCCCAGACCTTTGCAAACAACGTCGTCAGTCCCTTAGTCAGAAAATCACCACATCTTTAAAAAGAGCCGGAGGTAAGTCGTCTGGACACGGTGATTTGTAACGTTTCAAGAGTTGGAGTTCCTTGCGGACTTCCGTCTCATTTGGTGGATCAGTCGTCACCGGCCATGGAGGGCAGGACAGTCTGACCGATGTTGCCGGAGCAGCAGGCCAGTTGAACTGCCCTTCAAAGAATTCTGCCCACCGTCCAAGACGTCGATGGATGTTAGTGATTGGCGTTCCGTCATCCTCGCAGATTGTTTCGCTCACACCAGACTTCTTGCTGCCGGTGGCTCGGATGAGTTGGAAGAGCTTCCGGTAATTACCAGATGCAGCTGCTGCTTCCAACTCACTGGCACGCTCCGACCACCAGGCTTCTCGGTCCTTACGCAAGCTTTGCCCAATTTCATTACGTAACATCCTTCGTCTGTGGTCAAACTCACGGTCACCCGGAGTAGACCGACGGGCTTCAATCAGTTGTAAGGAACCAGAAGAAACCCAGTGCTTGTAAGCGGGACGTTTCGCAAACCCACAACAGACTGTACCCGCCATTTTCATGGCGTCATGCAATTGCAACCAATGCTCATCTATACTTTTCGGTGGAATGGTAGCTAGCCTAGAAGCTAGCTCGGTTCGGTACTTACTAGCAACCAGCTTTCTAACGTCAATCCTTTGGTGGCGGTCACTTCGTTATCCACTGAAAAGTAAGGTAAGATTGGCGCAGACCAGAGCATGATCAGATTCCAGATAGGTACTCCAAAAGGAGCGGCAGTCTTGTACACAACCACGCCAGCGGTAGCTGATCGCGATGTGATCAATCTGAATCCAGGCTTGAGATGCAGAAGGAGGACGCCAGGTGGCACATCAGTGATGACTGTGCCGAAAGTTAGTGCTAACCAGAAACAGGTTGTGGTCTATGCACAATTGCAGTAGACGTTCGTCGTTATCTGTTCTGCGACCAGCAAGTCCCCATCGGCCACCTAAACGACTCTCTTCTGTGCCTAGACGCCCGACCTGAGCATTCAAGTCTCCGGCTAGTACTACAATATCTGTCGAACGCACTTTCTGGAGAACAGTTAACTGGTGGTAGAATTCATCCTTGATTGCATCCGGGCTGCAATCTATCGGGGCATAGGCGGAGATGACGAAAAGACATCGTTTCTCACGCCGATTTCTTCTCACTTTGATGGAACTTTCTAATCTAACAGCACATAACCGACTGTTAATGGGGATCCAGTCGACTAGTGCTGCCTCAGCTCTTGCGCTTAGTGCGACACCAACGCCAGCAAGGCCAGACGAAGATGCCACAGGGTTCCCGGATAAACGCACGTAGAACAAGCTTTTTGAAGTGACAGATGGAGAGCGAACTTGTAGTACTTCACCAGAGTCTTGAATACGGGTCTCGGATAGACAACAAACGTCAATATTAAGACTTTCCAAATACATAGCCAGTCCTATCTGTTGTCCGACCTGCATAAGTGTGCGAACGTTGAAGGTAGCCAGTTTGAATGGTGCACGCGGTTTCAGAAAAACTGCTTCAGTACTCGTGTTCGGTAGTAACATACAATTTTCAACCAGGCAGTGACTCGGGAACGTTTAGATAAAGCTGAATTTTCACCATAGGTGAGCTGCTGTCTAGGTCGAAACGCATATATAAAGTAGGAATAAGAGTGGGTGAATAAATGACGTGGTAGAGTAATAATAATAATAATAATAGTACGAGTTATTTCAATGTTAATCAGATAGAAAGGAATATTTTCCATAAGCAAATTGTTCATCATAGTTTTAGTGAGTGGGCTGGGATACTGCCCGGGTGCCCAAACCGAAGCAGGTGGTTTTCTTAGGGGGCCACACCCCGAGCCTTTGACCTAAAGGTCTAGTCCACAAGGCAGTGGAGCATCGTGAGGAGATGCAGTCCCATGGAAGCCGGTGACCAAAAGTTGGTTCATACGCCATTTGTTCCCGCAGGATACTGGAGCCCATGTGCACCATTGGTTTGGGATCCGGTTATAGCGCCGGACATTCGCTTTTCGTCCTCTCATTTTCGTAAACAACACCCCCGCCACGAAAATGCAGTGAGTAGGACTTCCCTGGCAGAGGCTATATACGCATGGCCATGTGAGAGCATTTCGAGAGGGAGAGCGAACTCTCCCCACTCTCGGCCATGCCAGGGCATTTGGGGGCCTACATTTTAATCTCTCTGTATTTATAGAATATGGCAACTTAAACCGATGTATATACCTACAGGTTCTACGTTGTGACTGACTGACCCTATTGTAAAGTGTAGGAATAGAATTATACACGATGGCGTCAGATCTTTAATTCGTAGTTCATAAACTTCCTGTTCGCGTGCGTAGAACTTAGGTAAACGTATTTTATTCAATAGTTCTGTATCGCTTCTACATTTTAATCTCCTTTTAAGTTTTATCGCTGAGTTTTAGGTAACTAGCTAAGGCATTCGTCTTTCGACCAATACGTTAAAAACAACACAAGCCCCAATGCTTAAAATGTGACTTAAAGGCCGGTACATAAACCTGTACTTGGTGAATGGGTTGTATAGCTAATAATATTTTACTACCAACCACAAAGAGTAAATCAGCTCGAAAATAAAAAAAATTCAACAGCTTTTTTGTTTTAGTACCCATGAGCCTGTGTATCAGAATGAGTTTTTTCTAGTTTTGTGGTACAATTAATAGATTATTGAAAGTTATTTAGTTCAGTTGTCCCATATCGTCAGTGTTGACATCTTAGTGAAAGTGCCACAAGTTTGTCAATATTTTTCTGCTGTATTAGTTAACCTGAGTTTTCGTTAGATCTTTAATCAAACAGTAGTGTTAACTAACTGACTGATTTAGTATCTCAAAGTTAGAAAATCAGTTGGTCAGTCAAACGCAACGTAGAACCTAGTATGTGTGTGCATCGTTTTAGGTTCCCATACCCCCATTGCACAACAGAAGCAAATAATGGGCGCAAATCCCCGAGTTGTAGAGGCAGTAAGTCTGAGTGGTAGTTTGAAAGATTAGGCATCGAAAATATGATTCAAGAAAATATAAATTACTGCAATAAGATGTACTTTGAGGGATGTCAAAACCTAAAATCCAGGGAAAGACAAGGATTAAAGGCATCTTTATCATTGCGAACAATTCCGAGTCATTGCACCTAAAGTCTCCCTCGCTTTAGATTATCTACAGCTGTCTAAATGTCGTTAAGATTCGTCATTCAGCTAACTTTGGAACAATTCCGAGTCATTGCACCTAAAGTCTCCCTCGCTTTAGATTATCTACAGCTGTCTAAATGTCGTTAAGATTCGTCATTCAGCTAACTTTGGCATAGTGACTTGCTAAAGCCTATTGGGATATGATGGAGGGATTTTATAATAAAGATTGTCTCGGGTGGTTTTAGGGGTCTGTATAGAGGAGGTTTTCGCTTCCTGGCTGCCCACATCGTGAAAGAATATTTCTTCTGTAGAGGAAACTGGATTAGTGGTGATCTTAGTGACCACAGAGTCTGAGGGAAACCGTTTGAAACCGGTCACTCCCGGCGTGTCGATGGGAAGTTTTTGATGTGTTTGGAGTGGGCAACTGACGTTTCGTAATTGTGATTGTGAGAAAGTTTGGTTAATCTTCACTTGTTTGTAGTGTTAAAACAGAAGAACTAAGCGAATTACTCAAGACAACTTTGTGAAGTGTGATTTAGTTGTAGTCTCACAACTGTCATTATTTTATTAGTAAGATAGATTACACTTTTCGTCGTCACATACTCACACTTCCTCAAACGAAATCTTCCATCTCCAAGCCTGATCAATACACTCATATCATTTTATCATTACTTACATGCTTAAATATATTCCCTTGCTCCACACAGTCATTGTGCTAACTCAGTACTTATGTTTTCCTTGATTGGTAGTTAATCATTATCGTGGAAACGATGCTATGGAAGTTGATCGAGTACATGTCCCTGAAGTCAATAATACATCTCCTTTACTCACAAGACAAATTCCGCCTGAACGGATCACAGTTTTAAAAGGTCATCAATCAGAAGTCTTTATCTGTGCATGGAATCCTCGAAATGATATGCTAGCATCTGGGTAAGTCATTTCATCAAGTCTTTACTAATTGAAATCCGTCAGGTGTAACAGGTTCGTATACTTTAAAGTGTTTAATTTTGATATTCCATTACTAAGTATTGGTGCTGAAGCCCGAATTCAGTAACTGAATCAAGCATATCACTGTCGCTCTGCAAAACCTTTGTACATATGATTACTGGTGTGTATTCGTCTTTCTATTGGTACATGATGTCCCAGAAGTTACTCCCGAAGTTTCATTAACATAATTGAAAAGTAATTAGTAGGCGCTTTTTTTTTAAATTCGATCATGTATATAATTGTTAGGTTTAAAAATAGCCAAAATTTTCGGTAATGTTCTTTTAGCTGTTGTGAAAGTCAGTAGATAATCACGTCTAGTGATCATTTCTCTATCTTTACGTTTTTTAATATTTTCAAGAGCAGTTTTACCTATTTGTACCATGTAGTGCATCATCATTGATAATGTGCACGTAAATTCACAAATAATCTTTTACTTCGAAAATGTGACACTTAATTCCATAATAATTTTTAAATCCGTGAGCTGTCCGCTTTTCGCTTTGGCTTTGTCATTTCTAAGTCAGTTACCTTCGTTCAGCAATTGTGAAGATATGGTCAAAGGGAATTTTTTATTTTCCCACATAATTACACTAAATATCAATGGATATTCATTTCACCATAATAACACTTCATAAATTGCTTGTGTCAAGCAGAATAATCCTTAATCCATTTTTTAGTTTTTTTATAACTAGCTAAATTTATTCCTAGTTTGTATAAAATCTTTAATTTATACCAAATCTCATATCAGCTCAGGAGATTCAACGGCACGGATATGGAATCTTGAGGAACCCGTTGCAAATCCTCACCACGTCCCTCAGTTGGTTTTAACACATTGGGTTAATCTTGATGGTCAAACTGTGTTGAGTAACAAGGACGTCACATCTCTGGATTGGAATGTAAGTCAGTTAACGAATAGTTAATTGTTTCGGGACTACGACTGGTGATTTTTAGTCATAAATTCTAGTTCAGGAATTTCTCAAATGATTGAGATATTCTCTGTTAACTTATAACACTGTTCTAGTCATTATATATGTGTGTCAACGATATTCTCATGTATTAGTATGAAAGTGTCTAACTTAGTCCTATTATTCTTGTTGACGTAGTAGCGTGCTGAATCCGTAAAATCACACTTTTTTATTAGTCACGCTCCTACTATTTTTCCGGTCTCACAAATGACCTTGTGGAACTGTCTGTTTGGTGACTCATTATTAATGGCAAACATCTGTATAAAGCGGATATACTGGCCACTCCCATTTCTATATTTTTGTCCTTTCGTTTGTGAAATTCTTGTTCCACAGTAGTTACATTTCAACATTATTTTCAGTTATTGACTTTTTAAAAACCCTCATGCTTAATAAGATGTTCTTTGTTGTGGTATTAGGGTTTGTCACAAAAGTATGACTAAAATCATAGGCTGCTGACCTTTCTAGTGATGGTTTATGAACGAATTCTATTCACTGTTTATTTTTGTTCGAAATATCTATGATTAGTTTTTCGTTTGAATGAGTCGTTACTTAATGTTCACTTACATTTGAAGTAATACAAACAAATGGTAGACCGTTTAGTTATTTCAACACATTTTGTTAGCGTCCTGCTATAGAGTTAAGCAGAAATACTTCAACGGTTAGTTTCTATTCAAATGCACGTTTTATATATGATTGGTTTATTACTATTGGTATCCAGTTTGATCTTCCATGAAAAGTTTTGCTTACTGATTTTTAAATCAATTTTTGATTTTTATGCTCTTAATGTACCAGTCTGATGGAAGTTTCTTAGCCACTGGATCGTACGACGGGTTTGCTCGAGTTTGGAATACTGACGGTATGTTGCTGCATTATACTTACTTTTTTGGTGATAAGTCATTACTGTCTATGTGTCGCACTAAATTCAATGAGTATTTTTGACGTCCGTTTATTCACCATCCAAATTCTGCACTTAGATCTTAGTTCGTGTTTACTTGTGTATATTTATATGGATAATAGCAAGATATCGTAATTTGGAGTTGCAGTTAAGTTTCGACTGAATGTTATGCTGAGATAAAAAATCTTAAGAAGTTTATAGCTAATCATGATATAAACAGTACTCAGTTTATTATTACCTGTGTTAGATATTTATGTTTACAGGATAAATGTCTCCTGTATTTTTATTAAGGTACTTTTGAAGTATTACTTTGACAAGTTTCCTAATTAAGAGTAATCTTGAGTATTTGTGATAAATGCTATCTAAGAAACATATCAAACTGTTGTTCATAGTTAGTATTTTTTATGCAATAACTATAAAATGATGTATGGTATAATATATTTAGTCCCTTTTGTGTCTGATATGTTGCTCTTATGTATATTTGTTATTTCTCTGCACACCCACCCGCATTTTCCTAAATGTACAAAATGGCGACATATGCACTCAAAAACGATTAAGGTGGCAAAATAAGCATGTAACAAATCATTTCATTTTGATGACCTTCATTGTGATAAAGTGAACTCAAATGATTTGTTTCTGTCACGTAGCACGTGCATTGTCACTAAATGTACGTGTTATTTGACCTATAACCTTATGAATGTTACTTTTATTTTTCATCAGTGGCTTTTGTGTACCAGGTTATAAAAATTGTAGTGTTTCGGCAGTCTGTAATTTATACATCTCCACACTACTTTTCATGTTGCCGTGCTTATATGAGGAATGAAATCTGCAAATGTCTTTCTGAAATTTGCTAAAGAATACAAGATAAAGTGATTCAGGTTATTGGGATTTAACCAAAACGTGGCATCAGTGCTTGAAGTCACTAACTTCTAGTCTGATCCATGTTGGTAGATCCAGACTACTTGGTTGGGGTCCGCGTGACTATCGTAACCAATAGTTGGAGACTCTTGGTGACATGGCTCAGAACCGATCACAATATCATAAGGTATGGTGACATGGACCGATGCATATATGTGCCTGGTCCTACGTTGTAGCTGACTGACGTGACTCTAAATTCTAGTCATTATTCCTCGTTAGTTTTTCTGACTGACTCGATCGATATGTGACTTTTATTTTAGGTCGCTTGGCAACAACTCTTGGTCAACATAAGGGACCCATATTTGCCCTGAAGTGGAACAAGAAAGGGAACTATATTCTCACAGCAGGAGTTGATAAGGTTAGTTTGTTTGATTTTTTATTCTGAAACAAATACATTGTAAGGATCTACAGTAATTCCGTTCAGACTAATTAACTTAACACTATTTTATAATGCTCCTAGTGATGCGTCAGCACAATAATGCTCAAAATTTTACGAAACCTAAGGTTAGGTATAAGAAATACCCTACGTCTTACTAAAAGTCAGAGAAATCTTAATACCTGTGCGACAACAAATTCATAAAGTGTTGAATTAATATCTTGAATTTTCTAGCTGTAGTGAACAATATTTTACGTATACGGTATCGCACTAAAGTTTATTTCACACTTCATGAAATTGTGTAATGATAAACGACCAATTTGGTAAATAATGTAAAGTACAGAGCTTCTCCAATTAACGTACAAATACTTAGAATAATGTTATCAAATGTTCATTTAGCGTAGCCACCCAGTAATCATGAAAATGTAATAATATTAACCAATCTATAACTAATCTTGTCGCATAATTAAATTTACATTATTGGTACATGTTTTGTCTTAGTGGTATCGTTGGTCTCAATCTCATATTAATAAATTATTAAATTTTAAAAGGGAAAACTTCCAGCTTGTGTTAAATATACTGTTTTAAGGGGAATACGATTCACTTCAACATTTAGTGTTCAGTTTATTTAAGTTATTTCGTTTTTCAGGCAATCACTTCATTTATCGAATAATTAGTTCTGTTTTGTGTCGAATCAGTTGAGTTTTCCTCGTGTCACTGTTTGTTATTTTATAGAGCTGGAGTAATGTATCGTACCACTCTTAAATCGTTCGTTTCTCAACACTTCAATCCTGTGTTATATTTTATCCTTAAAATGTAAAAACTCAGACTAATAATGATAATAAAATACATTGTCCATCTTAACATTAATACAACCATATGTGACACTTGTTCTTCCGGTAATTTCCTGTCACTGACATCTAGCTTTCAGTTTCCGCACGTGGAGTTTCTTCATGGTGTCCATAACCTCTAGGTGTCATTCGTCGACATTCTGATCGTTATGATGATCTGTTCCAATGGTCAGACTCATTTCGACGACTTTCACCTCTAGTAACGATAATCGAATCTATTAAGTCATGTTCTCTTACCATAGTTAACACCTGTGTAAATGTTAAGTACTCAAAGACGAATGTTTTCTTACGACGATCTCACATGTTCATCTTCTCTATTTTGTTATCAGCACTTTTTATTGCGGATCGCCTCTGTAGGTTAATAGGGTAAGCAGCTTCATATACATCGTTTTAGTTATTCAGCTTATCTTTCTTAATTTTTGCTACAACGTAATTGCTATTTATCGATTATCTGAGTAATTTTCAATGATCGTTATAACAGAGTTAACAACATCAGTTCCATTACAGTTATTTGCAACAATATTACTTGTATGGGTGGGTTTCATTTTTTGACGTGTGCACATTTTCTTCCTCATGTTGTATCCCTTTTTCCTTTTAGACAACCATCATATGGGAAGCCCAAACTGGCAGAATCGCTCAACAGTTTGCATTTCATGTCGGTACGTTCACTCAGTAATACTGCACGTAGATGTTTATGATTTTTCTCTAGGATGGTCCGGTAATATTTTTGCTTCTCTCGCAATCTTATGTCTTTATAAGTAGTTGGTACATATTTATGTACGTTACGTTTCACTTAGTACGTCCATCAAAGCCTTGTTTTAGAGGTCCCTTTCCTTCGTTTCCTCGTCTCAAAACACCTTCCTGGTAATAATTTAGTTCCTGACAGTTACATGATAAGACTTGACAGAATCCAGTTAAAAACTGAAAATACTCTTATGGGTTGTAGTGTATCATTGTCTGTATATCGTTGATCCTGTAACATGACAGAAAAGGTAACCTGAGGTAATGAAAAACCTAATCCTACTACACTTTTTGACTAGCTGTTTGAATATAGTTAAAGCAAGGTTCCGCAGTTTGTCGGCTTAATATTCTAGTTAACATAAAAGGGGTACTTCCAAGCTTTAACTTTGTCCCACTGTTTAATAACGACGCGGTGCTTCTTATCTTCAGTACATTCAGTAACGACTTTAGGATACTAAGTTAGTCTCAAATCTGAGACCTTCATTTTCAAAGTCACCATAATCATGTATTTCGCTTTCATTTCCACTTTGATTTCTTTTTCCTTTAAAAAAATCTTATTTGCCTTTGTACTCGTCAGTGATTTGTTTGAATGTCATACATTGACAAACAGTGTATAACCTGGGTTATAATAACCACTCAAATCCCAACCAGGTAGTGTACGCCTACATCGAGACTAAATTCATAAACGAATGCCAGATTTTTTTCTAGCTTTCTTCCAATATACTCCTACACCAGCAATCATCCATCGAGGTAGGCCGTGGTTGGTTGTGCATCTTCGTAGAGAAAGACCCACAATCTTACCAACTGATTTCTGCTATCTTTTGTGTTTATTTCCAAGGTTGCTTACTCGGTGATTACAAGCCACTCGAACAATCCTTTAAATGGACCTATGATCAAATACTAGTATCCTACGAATATCCTTTACATTTAAGGTACAGATTTGACAGTCACAGTGTAATTTTACATCTTTAGGTAAAAGTCAATCAGTTATCCATTTGTTCACTATCGTTTAACCTCCCGATTTCTGTTGTTAATTTCTAACTACCTTGAAATTCACAGGCATGTAGTGAATTCCGGAACGTCTTTTTGTGTCTTTGATCAGTTGTTTGTGTATTCTCTTGTAGCGGTTAACTTGTATGTTCCAATAAACCCATAGCTCAGTGAAGTAAGCTTTCGTTTCTAGACTATTGTGTTAACTTATCCTCGTTCTACACATTTGGTTCCAAACCATAGCTCAAACTCCTCTCTAGTAACTGAGTTGAGCTTATACATTAAGACCACATAAGTGTTCATTAATACTATGTCTTGCCTGTCTATTTTAAACTAATTCTCACATCTACTATGATCACACAGAATTCAGTAAGTGTTATGGAGTGTCATTTCGATTACAAATGCTTTCGACTTACTACTTATACATTCACTTTACTTTTAAATAAAAAAGGCTTAATTCAACCATTCAAACTTTATCATCAAAATTTTGTTTTCTTTTTTCAAGCTCCGACACTAGATGTTGATTGGCAATCATTAGATAGTTTCGCATCTTGTTCCACAGACACAAATATTCATGTTTGTCAGTTGGGCTGTTCTTCTCCTGTAAAAACATTCCAGGGTCACGAGGTAGGTGCTTTTTTGCTTTCTCGTAGTAACTGTATTCTCCTATATTTTTAGCGCATTTAGTATGGCTGATTAGCTTTACGGGCTAGTCAAACAAATGTAATGTTGGAGAGGAACTTTACCTCTGGTAGACGCTTTTGGCGGTGTTGTATTCTGTGGGCTCAGTGAAAACTAATATCAAAACTTTGGAATCGTTTTCATCATGGCCTCAGATCATTTGTAAACTCACTAAATGTTAAGGAGTCCTGTATAGTTAAAGTCACTTGTTGATATGAATCTTTGACAAATTTAAACATATAAGAAATATAGGTAGTCGTGACGCACACCCCTCCACGTAGCCAGTCCAAGTGACAATTCGCTGTAGTCTCTGTTACAGAAACTGTATTTAAGTTAAGAGTCCATAGGGTATCATACTTTTCCGCTTATATTCCAATGACTATAAAACAGATGTATGATCTGTTACATTTTCGAGGCTTCACTTTTGTGAACGTCAATTGACAATAGATGTTTTCATCTTGGGAGCCAATTAGAACGATTAGGATAATCACAAGAGTATTCCTTTTCTTTTCATGAGCTGTATTCAGGAATGGAAATAAATATCGAGCGGAATTCCAACCTTTTATCGAATACTACTAGTGCACTCAATTTAACTGATTCTTAAACTACCCTTCTATTAGTATCTGTATAGGCTTATACACCAACGCTTCAATTAATTACCGTCATTGTCTCCTCTTACAAGTTAACTGTGGCTTTTATGAGTTCATTAAGAAATGGGAACTTGGTGTTGATCTAGAACATGAAATTATTGAGTCGAAATTATCATATATTTATGTAGTAAGCCCTCTACAGGGTTATCTCAAATATTTACCTTCGAAGTTCGTTTAATCTGGGTCTTAAACGCATCTTACGTTGTTGTTTGCAGAATGAAGTTAACGCAATCAAATGGGATCCTAATGGACGACTTTTAGCTTCATGCTCAGATGATATGACATTAAAAGTTTGGGATATGCATCATGATCGCTGTGTACATGATCTTCGGGGTCACACGAAAGAGATTTACACCATAAAATGGAGTCCCACTGGTCCTGGAACAGCTTTTGCAAACGCCCCACTTTGTTTAGCTAGGTAAGCTTGTAATTTCGTTATTTTAGTGGATGTTTTTTAAAAAATACTTTTATAATTGTTTTGTACTCCTGTCACTATGATTTTATAATCCCAGCAGTCATGTAAACATAGTTTAACTAAAAGTTTTTCATTACTAACATAGTTCCTTCTATTTACCCGGGCTTGGGAGCTGCAGTAAATCTAGGAGAGCTACAGGCGATGTTACCTTATTTGCACGCAAGGTAAATGATCCTAAGACAATATATTTCATTTAGTAACGTCAGTTTAAAAGCTGAACTCTTCTTGTGAATAGTCACAAATCCGTTAAGTCGATGCACTTTGAGATGTTACAGTTCCCGTTTCAAAGTGTTTTATCACCATGCAATTAATTAAATACACTATACTTATGTAGACAACCTTTTCACGTATCCAACAGACTTTATCGACCACACGTCAACTGTCTCACTTTTAAATATTTCTTTACTGTCATCCCTCAAATATCGTAGTATATTTGCGTCTGTTCTACTTCTCGATCGTTCCTACCTTGAAACTAGCAATTCATTGTTGTAAGTATTCCCTTCAGTTCGTTATATGATACTGCCTTACATCTTGTATCCATGGTTTGATTGGTTGTCAATATAATGAAAAGAAATCTGTCGTAGATTGCGTACACTTATCGATCTTACTAGTCAACCCTTCCTTGTAATTTTTTTCGTTTATCATTTTTGTCTTAATCGATTGTTCAAAGTCCAAAGCCTGTCTAGCATCACATAATATAGTCAGACCTAGACGGAAGGACAATCACTGCATAGCTTATTTAAGTCAGGTGGCTAAATAGATATAGACTTGCTTTTATATGTCTGTCTATCAAATTTGAATAAATGTTATAACCGGTATGTGATAAACCCTTTATAGTTTATTGATTTACATATGGTTAGTCTCGATAATATTCTGTACTAAATTTAACCTGGCCATATTTGCTTTAGATTTCAGTCTAATCTATGATGTGCTTTCGATATATGAGCCAAAATGAGTAGTGTGGTTTTTACATTCCTATATTTCTAATGTATAAAAACATCACTACAGCATATATTTCTCTGAGCATTATTATTAAATATGACGATAAATTGCCCTCTGAAACTTTGTCTTTTTCATTCAGATTTTCCTCGTGATTGTCTGAATTCACTTGAATTCTGGACTTAGTTTCTGTTTTAATAGAATTTCCAAATATCCCGGCTTTTCTGATGAGACTAGAATTTATTGACGAACCAATGAATTTAAATATGGCACGTTTTGAATTTCGGCTCGAAATCCATTTATTTATACGTTTATATAACATTTTGGCATTATGGCTGATGTCATTTATTGGTGAAAACCCTAACTCCAATTCCTAACCTTAACTTCAAACTCAATATATTAATCTTAATTTCTCACATTAATTCGTAACCTCTTTTTAACTTAATCAAAGTAGGTAAATGTCCTCAGGGTCACCTTCTATTCGCCCAAACGTCATCCATAAATTATCCTCTTACCTCTACTGTATACTCGTTAAAGTTCAAGGTCGTGGTACCCTATCATGTATAAATGGCGTCTTAAAATCTTGCAGACGGTGTATTTTATTTATCGTACACGAACTGTCATCGTTTATCGATTTCTTAACCAGCTTTAAGTTACTACTTTAACGTTCTCGGTGATCCCCGTCTAGACAGCACTTAAGTATCATAATTTAATACCTTGTACTGAGTTACAGCATTCACATTGAATATTTAATTTCTTCATAGCAGGTTATCACTTAAAAATATAGATATTTAATCTCTGAAAATTCCCATCATATAATTATGTTTTAATATAGATATTTATTATAATCACATGCAAACGTAACTTCGTGCTTCTTAAAAAATAGTTGAATTTCATCAAATTTTGTTTCTGAGTAATATGCGAAGCTTCGGAGTGATTTGATGGAAAATTTTCTTCACAAGACCCATTTCTACTTCTCTCATTGAACTTCGGATCATTTATTAATGACTCTTATATAGCTTGCCCAGAATAAAAACATTTATCACACTTTATTTTGATAAAAATTCAAATTTTTACTAATTCAAAAAATGCTTTGTTTCTTTTATTGTTTAGTGCAAGTTTTGATTCAACTGTTCGCTTATGGGATGTTGAAACAGGTCAATGCCGACGTATATTATCAAGACATACTGAACCTGTATATAGCGTTGCCTTCAGTCCTGATGGTCGTTTGTTAGCGACAGGCTCATTTGACCAATGTGTTCATATATGGAATGTTGATGTAAGTTTATTTCATTATATTTTATTCTGTTGAAACCTTCCTAATCTATAAACGCCTAAAGTTTACCAAATTTTTTTAAGGGCATCGGAAAAGGTAAACAATTCATTGGAATCTCTGCCGATAATTGGAACAATGCCTATATACTGGAATTAATATGATATATGTTTATATCATATAACACCTTAGAATTATTTCAGTACATCTGCAGTCAAATAATCTTTGTGAAATTGATTCGTACTGCTGAATCTCTTGAGTTTTTCTTAATCTACACCAAACCATTTTTAGTCTTTGAAATATAAAGTTTTCAGTCATAAATTCCTAATATGATTGGCACGCAAGTAGTGTATTTCGTTGAATGTGTCAAAATCATCAGTAGAGCTTTTGACTGATAAAAGTTTCGTAAAAACTCGAGAAGAGCAAATAGATTTCTTTGAAATCATTCTTATCATTTAGTGATTGATGTATGACCGGTTAACTCAAACTATACGAACGACACGTTGTACTCATGTATTATCACCCGCTGTTGGTGGATACATATATTCCTTTTTTCGAATTCCCTAATAATGATCTCTTTGAAAGTATCGTTATTTAATCGTTTTATTTAGTTTAACATTTTTTTAAATAGTCTGATAATTTGGTACTATTACTCAGGCTTAAGTAAAAAGTATTTTGTCGAAGCTCTATAGTTCCGTGTTTTAATTTTGGAATATTTTGTTTGTAAAATTCGCCTTAGTTAGACTTTACGTAGATGTCCAATCTCTATCCTTCATATCATACTACATCAAAGTCATTTTACTCTACCCTCTATTCACTTGATTTTTATGCTAAAGAACAAACCTGTCTCCTTTTTATTGGGCCACACACTTTATTTATCGATCATTTTTTCTTCGTATCTGATTGGCTTAAATGAACTCAGTTGTGGTCTGGTCGTTATAAAATCAGTCTGATTATGATTTTGTTCCCCAGTACAGAGGAAAGGTCACAGGAAAGTTTATGACCTAGACGCAAATGACATGTTTTATCTAATCTAGTTGTGTGCATTGTTTTATTGCTGTAAGACTAACTGTTAAAACTTAAAACTTAGTTATTACACACGATATGAAGTCTATATTCACTGAGTTTAGTGTTCGCTTTCAAGAATTATCCTTACTACATATTATAGTACCAATCACGTGGATATATTATGATTAAATGGTTTGTTACATCTGCTTTCTCCGGTTCTTGTTAAAGTGTAATTTGGCTGTAAATCATAAATCCGAAATTTCGACCTCCACCTCACATAAATCAATTAGAGCTGCAATGTCACTGTAGTTCGTGGCTAAACCGTGCATACAAACCGTAAGTTAGAGAATTAATTTGGTTTATCTAGACGTTGCTTCGTAGAATTCAGTTAGTCCATTCTGTGCAAGTGAGACTTGTACATAATAATTTCCCTGGTATCTTGTTTCAAATACCAAATGAGCTGTTGCGTGGCTTCCTAAAACATTAAGTGATGTCAACCCTTATATTTAACATTTTGGTTTAGTTATTTCCAATCACTAGCCCTTTTTTTAACAATTTTATCCTATTAATTTATTACATTTGAATATGTTTTTACTTCTATAGTCTGGTAACCTTATAAACAGTTATCAAGGCACTGGTGGCATTTTCGAAGTTTGCTGGAATTCGCGGGGCGATAAGGTGGGCGCTAGTGCTTCAGACGGTTCTGTAAGTTTCTCCAAATTTTCAAAATTTTGTTTGGCAACACGTGCTATCCCGTTCTTGATATTATTTTATTACAGTTTTTCCATACTTCTGATGTAAATTTAAATCTAACATCTAATTATCAAAATTCATTTTCAATTGCTATTCATTTATCCTTTACTTTTTTTAGGTTGTGGTTCTCGACCTAAGAAGGTAGCAGTGGCTCTTCTTCCCTATCGAATCAAATTATGGAAACTAATCACTAGCCCTTTTTTCATGTATAACTTTATTCATTGTAAACAAGTAATCTGTTAGATTATTTGAGACGATATATAACTAAATTTGCTATATGGGTGATACAACGTCATAACTTATTGACCCGAAGCTTTCAATCAATAATCAGATTTTAGCAATACTTCAATTATACTGGGTTCGTATAGTCTGGATTTCTGTTCTTTTGCTTGACTCCTGTTTTAAGATCCAACTTCAGTTTGCTAATTGTAGCCGTTGCAGTGTGCCCTGGCGTTTCTGTATCTCTGTCATTCCTGGAATAAACCGAGTTTTGTACATTTCTGAAGATTACTGAAGATGATAAGTCCTTTGTTACTATGTTTATGCTTATAGCCAACATTTTTGAACTTACTTATTCTTAAAGAGTAAAACAACTGTCATGAACTTTAGTTGTTTCGTCTCCCTCGTCTCAGTTGTTATATTCTTTGAAAGACTGGTTCTAAACTCTATAGATGTTGTTAAGCTGCATCTTTCATCAACTATTTTTGCGCCGTTTTTGTTTGTCTCTTTCTTGTCTCACCATTTCCTTCATTTCGGCAGCGAGGCTCAAACTGTTTTTGACGTTCCAGTGTCTGACTTTACTTTAAATACGTTTCCTTCGGTGAGTGGTTTCACTTTGGGTTGTATGTGAACTTCACACATAACCACTATCCGGTGATCGTAACATTTCGTGCTTGTTAAGGATTGTTGCGTATATAGCATTTTGTCAAGCCATTTCCTTTAATGATTGAATAAGATATATTATCCATCTTAACTTCATTGTAAAATGTCCCCTTATCTTCAACAATTTTATTCGATTTCTGCTAATTGTGTAATTCTGTTAGATTAACTAAATTCTGTCTGCTTGTTAGCATGTATCCACTTTTATCTTCCTGATAATATTTAAGCATGTTACCTATGAATTTTTGTTTGTTTCTGATTTGTTTCACATTATTCGTTGGTCTATTCACTTTTGAAGTATATCTTCATTGTCTTTTTGATAAACTCTATTTCCTTTCTCCCCTCCATGACTTTTAAAATAGATCAACAATTTCCAACTCTAAGTTTTTGTCAACAAACCAAAAAATTTCTTTTTGTTCACTACCATTTAATCACATGCCCTATCTGTCGTTTCTCGTTACGTCACTGTTTCTGGCTGTGGTTCTTATTAAATGGTCTTATTGAATAATAAGAAATCTTCGTCGATTATTAAGTTCCTATTGTTAACATTCTTTTTTCGTAAAGCTATTTTTATTTTTAAACCTTCATCCTTGTACTTTGCTTGAATCATTAAAATTCTTTTATTTGATGTTTCAATCTAATATTATGGACCTGTAAATTACATTCTTTTCCACTAGGTTTGGTTATTATTATGAATTTTTCACATATTTGTGTATGTTGGTTTATATATTCTACTCGTAACTGAGCAGCTGTTTTGTGTTCGGATTTGTCTCTTCCATTTCCTTTCATAAGAAAACGTTCGTATGTGTATTTGTTGTCTTTATGATAATTTAGTTCTCATTGAACATGTCCATATCCTCGAAATTCTTCTAAAGCATATTTTTTCATTCTCAAAATAACTATCCACTGTATATTTGTCCGTTTTTTTTGAGAAGTTTCCCGGATGTAATAATTAACTTATTTGCGATTTTGTACTTTTTATCTTGACATCTGCAGTTTTGGGGCTGGTAAATATAGCATTTATACCGTGTCTAATAATGTTTCGGGACTATTTGGGCTTGACTATTGTATCTGTATTTTAGTTGTATGCTTCAAATTGTGCTAGGTCTCAACAATGTATGAAATTTCCTATTATTGAACATTGTTTTAATGGTCGTTTTCAAATGGAAAATCACAATATCCGTTTACTTTATCTCTGCAAAGGCATCTCCTAAGTAGTTTTTGGTGCTAGTGTTTGATTTAAATAATCAGACTATCATTTAAGGGAATTGAACATGGGTTATTATCATCTATGTAAACTTGTACTACATGCACATTGAGTGATCAGTTATTAGTCACAGTTGTTAACTCGTTATTGTTGGTTGAGTTTTATCGATTCAGTTGCAATGTGGTTCCTGATAGCTTGATATCTTATAATAAATAAGGGCAGTTAAGGAGGAGCTGTACGCTTGTTAGTACTTTAGATTTCTATTACCTATTTCAGAAATCTTATCAGGTGTTTATTTTACGTATAAGAATTGGCAAGCATATATATATAAAGTTTATCACTCAATAAGAATCATATGAAAATAAACGACATTTCTGACAGCCCAATCGATAACTATGTAATGCAGCAGAATATAATTTGTGACCAATAATTCAGTAAAAAATGTTTCTGAATACAGCTCTCAGACTACAGCTTTTTATCTTCAAGGCTATGTGAGTTTTAAGGTGTAATCACCTATTGTATTAACGATCATTTATAAGTAATCAACTACAATTCTGTTTCTTGTCTAAAAGACCTGTATTTTATTACAAAAAAATCATATGAAAGTATGGTGAATAAACATGGTAGGTGCTATCAGTTGCATCGATCATGTGTAAGGCTGATTCATTTCACATACTTGGAAACTTAAAGTATGCTATCAATGTAGTACCTTTATGGTCTCATTTTTGTATGGTGACGTGAGTTGAAAATCAAATTACACTACTTTAAATAATCCTTGATATAATAAGTATATGGTATTGTCCAACTAGCATCGTAACGCATTTAATATGCTGTGTAAATTAGATACTAATAGCAAGACTACAAGTTCAACAGTTGTTCTTAACATTGCATCTATGTGAAGCTTATCTGATTTCATGTTAATAGGGCATCATTTTAACTCAGTCAGCTACAACGTAGGACCGGGCACATATATGCATCGGTCCAAGTTGCCACATCTCATTAGCACAGCAAGATGAATACCGGATTCATAGAATTAGTTGATTCAATGGTGTTAATATATAAAAGATTGCATATAAGGATATAGTACAGGAAGAAAGAATTAGTTCGTAGGAAGACAGAGAGTGTATACACCTACGATATTGTGATCGATTCTGAGCCATGTCAGCAAGCTTCTCCAACTGTTGGTTACGATAGTCACGCGGACCCCAACCAAGCACTATTAGAGTGGACCGTTTTAACTGGTTGCAACAGAAAACTACTGGAAAATTTGGAGAATATCTACGCATTAACTAACATCTAAATATTATGTGCAGGGAATGTGTTTTAGATTAAAGTAGCACTTGTTGAAACCATGAATTTAAAAGTCGATTAAAGTATGCATTTTTATCCTTATGTATCACCTTCCCGCTTATATTTACTGCATCAATGAGTACTACTTGAATGGCTGTGTACCGACCGTTAGTGATAGATGACTGAAATAAAATTAAGTAAAATACTTTTATGTTACCGATTCTTCAGCCAAATTCTCCGGATACCACTTCGGGTTTACTTGGACATATCATGTAGAATGTGTACTAAATTCGATGCACTTGAATTTTAGTTTGCGCAATTTTAACTTCATATAAAAAGAATTGAAGTAGGCCGTGATCGAATAGACTCATGTAAAATGCTCCAAACATATAAAAGTTTTTGTTAAGAATTGGTTTACTTATTATGGTCTTTTTTTCTTACTGCACGGAACAGAATCTTCAGAAATGTATGGAATCAATCGTGTTTAACCAATTCATTTGTAATACAGTAAATTTTCAACATGACCTTATTTGCAATGTGATAAACGTCTGTATATACCACTTATTCTAGCTAAGATATTTGATGTATTCCTACTTATGGGATCAACATTTCTAGATTTGGTTTGTTAATTTGGACTGCAGTTAATCAGTAACATTGAAAGATATCATTTTAGAGAATGAGACTTGTTAAGGATATCAAGAATAATCAATATATTAGTTTCTTTCATGAATGTTAATAGAATAAAAATTACAAAATACTGATGTTTAAAATGTATTTTGTTACAATAATTAAAGGTCATAGAGGTGTAAGAATAAATAAGGTGATATGATGCATCCCCCCTTATAGTCTTATAGTCTCATTATTCTATTCGTAAATGCTCATCATATCACCTTATTTATTTTTACACCTCTATGACCTTTAAAAAAATACTGATGTATCCTGTTAAATTCCCTTCCTCGATATTTTTGTTAATGTGGTTAACTAATTAGAAAAAGTTAAGTTGTAACATTCATCAATGAACTGTCAGTTGCTGAAGCACTAAAATTAGTAAGGTATAAATAAATTAAGTGAGATCTAATTTGAACGCATTTAATTTTTATCATAAATAAGTTATTTGTCAATTTCTCAGTCTACATTGATAATCCCCATATTGGATTCGTTTTCAACAACTCTGTTCTTGGTAATTTGAACTAGGAGGCGAAATCTATCAGAACTATGGTAAACTTCCTCTTCTTATTACTCTACATAAATTTTGAATCTGAACTGAATCCCTTTAGATTGACCGTTGATGAGTTCGTTCGTGTTTAGGACACTAGTGTGACTAATGTTGATGTAGGTTTCTAGAAGCATACTGTTTACTAGAATTATTAAACCAGTCAGAGTTTAAACGTTGATCTTTTCATAATGGACAGCAAAATTTAATTTCCATGAACTATTTTAGAGTAGAGTTATGCTGTTAATTAATTTTTTAATACACTTTAGATGACAGTGTTGTGTTATATTTCCGGCAAACTACTGATGTTATTTTATCGTGTATAGTATTGTATGTGCCAGTCTAGCAGAAGCCTCTACTTCGCTAGGTCTCGACATGAACAAGGGAAAAACCAATATCCTCAAAAACAACTCGAAGAACATTAAACCAATCACACTTAATGGAGAAACTCTGGGGAAGCAGAGTTCTTCACTGATATATATACTAATTTAATTCAACGATTCCATAGAATCATTATTCTGCAAATGTGTAATTGCTGTTCACTGATTCAATACATTAGTTTTATTGTGTAAACTACCCAAGAAATACGATAGAATTTAAGAGAATCCTAAACTGGGTTTATTCATCTGTTCATTTTCAGACATAAACCTTCAAAAGCACAAATTTCAGATGCATATCTGAGATAAAAAAGTATTATCTGCTCGGTGCAGTCATTATTTATATTTACACTAGCTCTTCGTTTAGTAATTCCTATCTCAGTAGTTCATTTTTAGAATTACTGTTTGCCTGTTGAGTGGGAAAACATCAATTTCCTTGAAATAATATACATTTCCTCATAGTGAATACTGCGCGAGGGTCATGGGGTGTCTAATTCAAGAGCTTTTTACTGAATAACCACAATTGTTTACCATTTATAAAGTAATAATAGTTTCAGGTATGTTTTTATAAAATGATGATGTCTCTAATACAACTGACAGAACTCAGGAAGTGATAGACAACTGGTTCATCCTAACAGTATATGGATTACATGTGGATTGAGGTTGATTCTGGTTTCTCTATTTCCATATTACGAACAACTTGAAGATTCTCCTATTACTGATCGAGATCTATACTAACTAGATAGATTGGATAACCAATGCATAACACGTTATTATCTATCCATTTCCGGATGAAATAGATGGAAGAGATTTTTTGTAAGGAAAATGTACTAGGTTAGACTGTATTCAAGTTCATTCAATTGTATTATCGGCTACATAATGATTACTAATAAAAGAATTTTATCAATTAGACACTTGTCATTATACGTAAATTTATAATAAATAAACCAATATAAGAAAAAAATGTATTTAAAGTCAAATGACTGAATAAATTCATGTAATTGAAATTCAATGAATAGAATTCATTTTGAATAAATTAATACAATGAAAATCGTATTGAAATTGAACTGTGTATAGAAAATCATCTTGAATCAATATGTGAATGTTAAAATTAGTTTTCTCATTTGTGAATTGTATTTAGGGATGTTACATCTGAAAGAAAACCTTTCTAGGGGAAAAAAGTCGTTGATATTTATTTTTAATAGTTGAATTCATGAGTCAATTGAAGCTAGACCACCATGGGAAATCTGGAAGCACTGGACGACCGTTCCTTTCTCGTAAGGGACTCCTCATCAGCGCGCATCCACGATCCCGCATCGCGAGATTTCAACCCAGGACTTATCAGTCTCGAGCGCGAGCGCTTAACCTCTAGACCACTGAGTTGGCACCCAACGATGTTAATGTCTAACTTCAACCAATCCACGAAGTTGCACTGCCGTCTACCATTGTTTTTGCTCCCTCACGATCCTGGAGATCATGTGCACCATTGGTTTGGAACCAGGTTTTTCCAACTCCCCTAGATGAACTCGTTGTGTCCACCTCCTCGGTTTAAGCGCCGGATATTCGCTTTTCGTCCTCTCAATTTCGTAAACAACACACTCTCTGCGAGAAGGCAGTTAGTAGGCCTTCACTAGCGGTAGCTATATACGCGTGGCTAGGTGAGAGCATTTGGAGAGAGAGAGAGAGCTGACTCCCCCCACCCTCGGTCGTACCAGGGCGTTCACTAAAGAACGGAATATCGAAGTCAACTCACATTCACAATAAACAAACTGACAGGCTATAAAAACATGCATAATCTTACCAAAATATTATTATTATTAATGAATATGAGTAAACTATTGAAACATAATAGGAAAAAATATCTGAACGACTGAATGCTTTTTTATAGATAGCTTATAAATATTTAATATTTCTACTGCATTTAAAAGTATTATGGAAGTGTATATTTTGCACACTCAGGTTTTTTTCGATTCAATAATTAGATAAGATGTTTTAATAGCCTGTTTTGAGTTGTTGTCATTATCCACTTGGTGTTGTTTTACCTGTATC